TTTGGTGTATGTCGGAGCGTGACATGGAAGAGGTCGTCTGAGAACGAGATAGGAGTTTATGGTCAGTCACAGAGCCAGGTAAAAAGGAGTGCAGAGAGCAGGGTGTGTACCACACGGAACCCAAGGAAATAATAATAACAATATAACATACATAACAAATAATAATTGAGATCAAAGCTAGGAAATGTCTTGCACACCTTTGAACTATTGAACAAAACTAACAGTGGTAATTGTCAAAACCAAACAGAGAAGAACATGAAAAACTAACGAATACTGATAGGTATTCAGAAGATAGGAATTTAAAAAAAGTGAATGACCACAATGCAATGAATGAAATGTTGAAAATTGTCGTGTAAATATTTTCGCATCCATATTAACTAATTTTTTCTCATGTTTTTCCACCAACGGTCTACCATCCATAATTTGAATTCATCAAGATAACAGAGTTGATAAATTTTGAAAAACTTTACAAAAATTTAAAGCTTTTCACTCATTCCTTTACGTTCCAAGTGGCTTCAAGCTTGAAACCTTGAGGTTTCAGTAGACGTGATGTTATTTCTACTGGGTAGAGTCGCTTACCCGACGCCCAAACTTCCTTCTTTTCTGGGCTTACTATAGGTGAGTTAAACTGGTAAATGACTTAATTAACAGAAGCTGCCATACTGAAGTGAACCATATTTGTGTTGTAAAGTGAAAAAAGCTATTTCAAATAAAGAATTAAGATATAATGCAGAGTCCAGGGTGTTATTAACTTAAATGACAATTTTAAATGATCAGAAACTTTCAGTTATATCGATCAGATGCAAAATAGACCTTTTTTGTTAAGTTAAAAAGCCCCACTGAGTCATATCACAGAAAAGATGTTCAGCGAAGAATTACCCTTTACACGGATATCATTCTCAAACTGTACAACTGCAAATATATATAGTTATCATCCTAGCAACAAAAAGAATATTTCCAAAGATGTATCATTAGAATTGTAAATTTTTCTAGGTGGCGAATTACGTAATATAAAATGTGTTAATCGGCTAGTAATTGGAGAAACAAATGCAATGTATGCTTGGAGAATTTAGCCTATATAAACGTTATGTGGATGCGACACTCACTATTGGTAACAATAGTAAGTCTGTTGAAAACTCCATTACGCTCTTTAATACAATTTATATCTTATTACAGGAACATAAGGCTTCAGCCGTGCGTCTCTTCGTTCGTTCTCTGCTAGAGTCTCACCTAGCTACAAGTCTGCTCACACACTTTCATCTTCTCTTCACATGCCTCCTCCAAGTCACCTGCACTGACGACTATTAGTGATGTCATAGTTTGTTTCCTCAGAGTATGGCCAGCCAATCCATCTCCATTTCTTCCTGCCTATTTGTTTCACAATTGGTTCCTGGTAGGTTCGTTCCCAAAGATCCTGTGTATCTCTTTAATATTATACATCCAAATATCCAAGTGACTACCGAACTTGAATGGAAAGACAAACTCCGTCTCCTGGAAATTACAATGACCAGGAGAGACGATGAAACGATTAAGCGATCTATTTTTCGTGAATAGACATGTAGTGGACAATATCTTCATTTCACCAGTTTTGTTCCTATCCAGTATAAACGTGACCTAGTGAAATGTTTGTTCTCAAGGGCCCGAAAAATATGCACGAGTGACACATCGATGGATGAGTTTCGAAATATACATTCAGTTTTATTAGCTAATGGTTATCCGGAGAACTTCATCACTTATCACAGTAAAGAAAGACCACATCTAGAAAAAACAGCTGCTGTGCCAAAGAGAGCTACCTTTATTAACCTATCATTCAAGGCTGACCAGATTATTCAGTTGACAGCTCAAAGACTTCAGTCAGCCATCAAACTCACACACTATACGCTGCATCTGTTTCCCTCACATGACGAACATTTCCGATCCATGAACCTACAATTAAAAGACGAAATTCTCTGGACTCCACTTCAAACTGTATCTACAAGTTCACCTGCAGTTTCTGGTGACACACATCTATATAGGTAGAACCAATAGAATGTTCGAATGTCGTCGAAAAGAACACGTTCCAAAATTACGGTTATTAAATTACATAGAAAATCCCAATGTGATTGATCTGAATAGAAACCCAGCATCATCATTATCATCCATTGCAAAGCACTTATTAATGTCAGGTCACAAAATCAACATTGATGACTGTTTCGCAATCATTTCATCACATAACTGTAATTCAAGGTCGGTTATTGAAGGTGATGGAAGCACTTTGGATTATTCACATACCTCCCAAACTATGTGTACGCAGGAAAACAATAGACTTCGACCTTCGCCTACATAATGGACTACTTGACCTATTTAAATATGACTGGTCATTAGTATGCACTTTTGTTTTATATAACTGAGTGATTGTCATGCCTTTTATTTTATTATTATTGTGAACCATGTTAGTTGTAAGGTGGTTGTAAAGAAACCAGGAAATGATATCATCTCGTGAAATTTGTCTTCTAAATGCCTTATTCAAATTTATCGAAGGGACTAATTGTTTTAAAATTAAAGAAGTAAATTCAGTGAGTGGGGGACGATTCTCAGTATTTCTGCCAATGAGTCTCCATTGAATTGTAGATTTAAGCAGAGTAGTCATTGGATTGCAGAAGGTTTGGGCTGTTTTAGTGGTTTCGACTCCATAGATTTTGTAATGAAACGTTCTATGTAGACATTTTCTAGAAGGATGCCTTTCATTGTTCAGCTTCCTTTCCATATTGTAAGGGATGCAAATGCTGAGGATTCTGTGGTTCTGTCAACGGGTTGGGTTTCCATTTGTATATATAGAGGCACCCAACTATGAAATTTAGTGATTAGTCCGTTCTTTGTTGGCTCTCTGTAGATGGGTCTTTTTTAGTGTTCCATCTTGTTAACTGAAGCTCCAGAAAAGATGTTTTCCGTGGGACTACTTCTCTAATATGAAATGGATTGCAGGGCGGCAGCTGTTGAAAAAGTCCAGGGTGTCCTTCGAATTCTTCTCATTACTGGAGATGATAATAATAGCTTTACTCTGAACAGTTCTTATATAATGTACAGAGTTTTCAGCGGAGTTTATCCTGTGATCTTTTCTTTTCGTCCAAGATCTTCAAATAAAATATTAATTAACAGTAGATCGCGTGATACAGCTGTGTCTAACCTAAAGCGCAATGCAACCCAATATGATAACTGTTCATTGTCTCTTTCGAGATGCATAACATTGGTTGAATGCCAATTATAAAACGTTCAGGATTACATTTTGAGAACGAACTGCACAATTCGGGAACGGTTGTCTCATGTATTCGGATACGCTACCACCCAAGACTATGCTTTTTGTAAAGTATGATAGAAACTTGCAAATCAGCAGGTTGCAGGCGTTTTAAATACTCGCGAGAATAAATAACACTATTAGAGGTCATGTTTTCTTAGATTAGAACAAAGTTAACAAGCGGACTTAAATGCAATACAATGATGGAGTTTTTCGGTAGCCGAAGTTTTAAACAGGCAGCCATTACTACAATGAGAGTATCGTCCATGTATCTCTTCTACAACCCAATGCTGTCAATCATTTTCCAGTTCTGACGTGAAATACATCTGCAATTAATGGGCTTGGTGGTAAGCCCAAAGCTATGCTACCTTTTTTCAATATATTTCATCAATAAAAGAGAACCGGGCATTTAGAGTGAATCCCAGCAGGTGATGTCTTGGTTCACACCTGATTAGCACCTTTCGTATTACGTAATTTGTTATCTGAAATTTACATTTCTAATGACACGTCACTGGGACAGCGGTAGAATGCTCCCCAGCCATGCAGGTGGTCCGGGATTCAATCCACGGCCGACTCATTTCCTTATCTCGCTATGCCAGTAATAGGACTGCCAAAGAGGGAAGGTTAGGAATGAGGATAGCAACCCCATCCTGTAAAATTAAACACCAGTGCTACTGAAACTTCAAGCCTGTAGCATGAAGCCCTATTTTCCACTGGGAACGTAACAGAATAAAAAGAAAGAAAAAGAAAGATATATATGTATGCAGTTGCAAAGCTTGAAGATGATATCGCTGAAAAGAATGACTTTTCGCTGAACACCTTTTCTTTTTATTAATTGTCTAGGGTCATTTAACGGTAAAAAGAACATTATATGTTCGTTGTTTTTAGCGTGATGATCACATAACGAAAACTCAGTTCTTGAAATTCTACAAATCCTGAAGAGGCAACCTAATACTGACCACTAACACATCCGTAATGGTTATCAGGCAACCCAAGTATCATAAATGTAACATCGCTGACTTTAGCAATGTCGGAGTGACAGAGTGTTTTACAGATGTAAGCTTCTAATGATTGCCTAGCGAGGCAGTTGAACACTGGAGAAATGGTGTTCTTTGGACAATGTCTTCATGTACCCACATTACGATGCTTTTTGTATTCCTTTATGTTCCTCGTGGGATATAGGTCTTCAAGCTAAAGGCTTGAAGTTTCTGTAGCAGTGGTGATTATATTTACAGGATGAGATTGCTAGCTTCATGCCTAACTTCCCTCTTTACCAGTCTTGTTACTGGTTTAGCGAGGTGTGGGAGTGCGTCTGTGGCCGGGGATCGAACCCCCGACCACATGGTGGTGCGCGAGCATTCTACCGCTGTGCCACCGACACTCTCCATAAAATGTAAATTATTTAAATTATGCTGTGGAATTCCTCATTAGTCTGTTTATCGGATATGTCATACAGTGACGCTGATTTGTTTGACGGATGATGTTTCGAACACAATTGTAATTATAATTTATATGATTATGAAAAATAGAGAGGTGTATTCGAAACGTCATTCAGTGAATAATACCGCTTCAATAAACTTATATGCGGTTACATAATACAACAGTTTCCTAGCTTTACGCATGTATCAATATCTTATAAAATGTCCAGAATTAGCATAAGACTAAGGTGTAATATTATCAGCATAACTTTCACAGGAAAAATTAAGCATTACAGAAATGAACTTACACATTTCCATTAAATATTATAACTCTTGCATCTGCACGGTATATACTTTCTAGAATATTAAGTAATGGTTCTAAACACGGTCGAATTTCGCGTAGCAGTGCATCTATGCATTCAAAGAACTCAACGGATGTTAATCCCTCGAACGGAAACTGATAGTTTATTTCAAATCTGTAAGACGAATGAAAACAGAATACAAAGTAGGCGGTGTCAGGAAATTATGCATACATAGGTAAATGGAAACAAAACCTTTAAAATGACAAAAAGTGATTGGCTTTGAAGTTTCGGTAGCAGTGGTGTTCATTTTTACGGGGTGGAGTTACTAGCCTCATGCCCAACCTTCTCTCTTTACCAGTGTTTTTACTGGTTTAGCAAGGTAGAGGAGTGCATCGGTGGCCGGAGATCGAACCCCGGACCACATGCGTGATTGGCAAGCATTCTGTCGCTGTGCCACCGACGCACACTCGCGTGAATGCATTCGTAGTATTACCTGTGTCTTGAAGCTTGAAAAATATTTGCTCACGAACACCTGTGTTCAGTGCGTTTTCATTTTTATCCTATATGACTGTGGACTGATGTAAGCATGTTTGCAATCACTGTTCTATTGATCATAACTAATCTGTCAGGTTTTTCAAGAAATAACGAAAATGCCCTTAAATAAACCGTGAACAGTGAAAGGGAATAAGGGGGAAGGGTAAGTTAAGTAAGGCATAACTTATGAAAAATTTAGTTATATCACTGGTCATGTGAGTAAGGATGCTCGCGCTCATGGTCCGGAGTTCGATCCCCGACCGACGCACTCCTTTACCTCGCTAAACCAGAAGTAATGCTGGTAAAGAGGAAAGGTTGGGCATGAGGCTAGCAACCCCATCCTGTAAAATAAACACTGCTACAGAAACTTCAAGCCACTAGCTTGAAGCCCTATGTTTCACTGGGAACGTGAAGGAATAAAAACACTGGTCAGGTTTCCTTAATTTAACCAACTCTGAATGACTAACGACCGGTTTCAGACAGAAACTCGTGTTTCTTATATCTATAACTAATCTGTGATGTGAGAAAGACGTATAGATTGAGAGAATGGTAGTAAGGGTTGAACACGGAAGAACTGCTCTCAGTTATGCCACAGTAGATGGTATCAAGTATACGTTAGTACTCACACTGTCCGTATATAAGACTATAATACGTCATTGTCTACCAACGATCGAATAAAAATGTAATGGTGTCTCTTTTGACTACGGCATCACCAAATCGAATTTGCACAGCATATAATTTCAGTAAATACCGACATGGATTTGGTTGCAGATAGTATGTTATGCGCGTAAACAGGAGATCACCACTTCACTCTGTTCTCTGTAGTCTTTTTAAATGGCTCCACGACTTACCACGAGACGTCGTTCATGTCACCCTCCGACGTACACCGAAGTCGTCATTTCCTATTCGAGTTCCACTCTAGCCATAGCCTGACGCTTGATTTCACCCAACAGTTTCCTCAGTATGTGTCCGATCCATCTCTAGTTTCTTCAGAATAGTTGCTGAGCAAATAGGTTCTTAACTGCTTCGTTCCAAGAGTTCCTTTTCGCTAACCTTTTCTGGCTGTTCATCTGGTCTTGAGAATGGAGCCAGCGAAGTCAGCTGCTGATTCAAGCCTGTAGCCTGATGTAACCATAACTGCAGACTTCATTGATTGGATAAGGTCAAAACTTGGATTTCCACTCATACTTTTTTTATTCCTTCACGTTCCCAGTGGAACATAGGGCTTCAAGCTAGTGGCTTGAAGTTTCTGTAGCAGTGTTTATTTTACAGGATGGGTTGCTAGCCACATGCACAACTTTCTCATCTATTATGCATGATAAAGAGTACGTCATTCAGTGATCGAACCCTGACCATGTGCATGGTCGGCGAGCATCCTAACCGCTGTGCAACCGACGCACACAACCTTTTAGTTACTCCCCTTATATTACATATGGTTCAAGTGACAGGGTATGTAAAGTGTTCAAATGACATTTCTACTGAAGCCTGATAAACTCACTAAATTCCGTCTCACAGCCATCTGCGGCTTCTTTTTTTTTTACTGTAAACTGGTTTAACAGGCAAAATGGTAATCTTCTCGTGAAGTTATTCAGTAGTAGAAATAAAATATGGAATCACACGGTTAGTTGATCTGACTTACTGCTAGAGCAATAAGGACATTTATATGTGTAACTAAAGTAGTGATGATAATTTAAGCCGTACGCAAACACACGTGACTAACTGCCTCAGAGACCACTTTGTGTAACGGAAGTACTGTTCCTGTGATTGGAAACGTGATTAGACATGATTAATTACAAAAGACTAAACTGGGTATTGTGCTGTTATATGCACATATTTTATCGAATAGAATCACATATATTATATCTGTTTTCGTTGACCATTTCCTCGTAAATGCGATAGGGTAAAAAATTAGCAACAGAACCTTGAAATACGGTAATCATTGCATGAATTTAGTCAAAGTATAAAATACAAATGACTAGTTCGTGATGGAAGAATTCAGTGATAAGGAGACAAAGATTCGCATCTAAATTAGTAGACTTTCTGACATATTTGCTGCCCTCAGAGCCTTTGACTTAATTGGAGCAGTTCCTCACAACTTCTAAAATAAAGGTGAAAGTTCCACACCAGAAAAGACGCCATTGTGAAGAGCTGCTAAACCACCATGAGAACCGTTAGTAAATCTGAAGTACAATGAATGGAACATCTGTCACAATGATGTGAAGTAGACGGATGAAAACTATTTCAGAGATTTAGCGATATTCTAGTGGGAAGTCGTGACCAGTAGGGTGCAGCAGGTCGGGTGTGAGGACAAATACTCGCCAAAGACATTGGCTAGCGGTTGCGCTATATCGTGAATTGGCAGAGGTTAGAATTCACGGGCCATTGGATCGGGTCCCAATGGCTTAATAGTCTACGAGCTAGCTCACCTTGTAACCAAAAGGTCCTGGGTTTGAGCCACTGTGCTGGGTGTGTACTGCTGAAGAGTGCCAAACTAGGACAACAGAAACAGCTGTTCAGTACTCCGTACTGGTTTCCAATGGTTCTCTAACCAATTTCAGCTCATGTTGAAATCCTGTAACCAATCAACCAAATCCCTACAAACCAATACTTAACCATTTTTAGCAGTGAAAATAAACAGTTACCCAATGTGAACGTTGTTTTCAAACCGCATACAGTAATCACTACTGAAATGGGAAGTTAAAATTATCAAGATGAGAAACACACCTCAGACATGAAACTGTTTTCCTCGAATAACACTTACTCAAAATAGTTTGGATGATCTTGTGCACTTCTTTCTATCTGTAATGTTCTTATCTCTTCAACTAAAACATCTGATCCAGGCACCAGTGTATCGTATACCATGACGACAAGATTCCATTTATACGCCTGCATGAAATCGACCAATCCTCGTGCTACATGCCAAGTGAGTGGCTCTAAGCGAATAGCCAACTGTGAATCATCCAGCTAGTTGAAACGAAATCGGATGTATTAGAGGAGATAAAAAAACCACACGATGAATCTTTTTGCATGATCCCAGCAAAATATGCATGAAATTATGTTTAATGGGATGGAATAATTTAAAAATATCAACGTCGGGAACAGTTTCGAGTGGACATTGAACAAGCAAATGTTTACAAAAGTATGTAAAAGGACGCGGAAGACAAGCTGTCGCATTGGGCCACCTCAATGTGCATATACCAGTTTACTTGCTCTTGTGGAGCTGAGTTCATCGGCCGTACCATGCGCCAACTTGGAAAACGCGTTCGCGGACACTACCCAGCCTGGCTAGTTAAAGGAGACCAAAAACGTGTATACAGAACATCTGGCCAACTCAGGACATTCAGCGCCTTTCGAAAAATCCTTCAAAGTAATATACAAGATTCAATCAAACCAATCAAAGGGAGTGAAATCAAAACATCTGGGCATAGCTGGGACGTTAGCCATCCAAAACCTCAAACCCACACTTTGTATTCAAAATAAGTATGTCCAACCCCTATCCCTGCCATCGCCATCATAAACAGGTAAATTTTTTTTTAGTAATGACCATTCCATCGCCTTTCTTATCTAAACTTCCTGTTTATTCATGTCTACACTACCATATTTTCATATCCACACTTCCTGTTTATTTTGTCCTTTTACTATTTCTACATATTTAATCCCTGATTGCATAAACAGTTATTCATCACACTAGTTTTTTTATCCAAAAATCCTGTATATTTTGTTATTTCTACATTTCTAACCCCAATTGCACAATGTCAATCTTCTTAGTTATTATGCTACTTCGTTTGAGTTTTACCCATCCCCCTGTTTATTATGGCATTCTAATTCCTAATTGTAATTTTTATTAATTTGACCCCTAGCCGGAAGTTATTCTGGAACTTTCCCATCCATTTGATATCAATACACGAATGTACAGCCTAGATGATGACTTCGTCGAAAAGAAAATTTTCTTCGCTGCAACTGTCTTTTTATTCCCTATGATCAAAAGTACGTAATGGTAAAATATTAATGTAGAAATATACACTCCCTATGTTTCTTAACTTGTTAAACACCAGTTATTCATTCAAAGAAAGAAATTATTACACCTTTACAACTAAATTTGGCAATAGGCATTTTGGTACAGCTTATGAGATTAAGAATACGCTATACGGTAGGCTGTTTCAATCTAGATTAGTACACCATCATTGAGAGTACCTGGTCAAATTCCTGTCTTGCTTTCCTTTATTTTAAGAATTTGAATCATTTTGGATAATACTTGGACAGAAAATACATACTTTGTGGATATTTGTGGTGCGAAAAGAAAAAACCTAGTTCAGCGAAAAGGCTCGTCTCCGGTGAATTCATTTTCCTACTTAGCTGTACAGTCGCCCTGATACATAATTCTTCTTCCATAAACGAGGATAGTAACAAAAGTGATGAGTTGTCTCATAGTTGTTAATGTTGAATAAGTGTATTAGAAATCCGTATTAAGATGAGTAATTAATTAACTGAGTTGTGATCAGGATGCACATCGGAACGAAGGAAAATTTGGAGTAATGGAAGAGTTGTCAATAACTACAAGAGCTATAAGGATTTAATTCAATTTTAGATTTTCCCGTAGATTGATTGGACTGAAGTGCTCGATCTCGTAGCGCAAGTGGTCTAGTGGATAACACTTTGACATTTGCAATTATAGGCACTGGGTTTGAGCCTCAGTGGGAACATCATCACACATACCTAGAAATCCAGGCACATCCAGATTGCGAGTCCCGAATAGGACGAAATGCGCGTTGTCCTGGATTCCACCACTGCTAGTCACCATCGACCAATTAACTTAGAGTTATAAGGAGTTAGAAAATCAAGTAAACAAAAATCAGGTGAATGGAAGTCAACAAGGTTGTTACGACGATGGTGGAAATGGTTGAATAGTTTTCCAAACTATGCATCATCATCGAACAAAGCATGGAATGGCAATCAAACCTCTACCTCAACTTTATAGACTTTGAGAAGGCCTTCGACAGCGTTGAACGCGAAGTAATTTGGAAACTACTCAAGTACTACGAAGTGCCTCAAATATTCATCAACCTTATTCAACAGCTGTACGACAACGGCACATGTCAAGCGATCCACAACGGAAAACTCAGCGAGGCGTTTGGAGTAAACACAGGAGTCAGACAAGGGTGCTTATTATCACCAATGATATTCCTAACTGTGGTGGACTGGATTATGCGTCAGGCAGTGGAAAACGAGAAGACAGGGATATCCTGGACCGACGTGAAGAACCTAGAAGACTTGGATTTCGGGCGTGGATGATTTATGTTTGATGTCACAAAAATCGAAGACTTACAAGCGAAAACCGACAAACTGGTCGAAGAAGCAGCAAAGACCGGACTCCAGGTGAACATGGACAAGACGGAGGTTATGAAAATAACCAACCAACCAACAACACCAACAGCAGCAGCAGCAACATCCAGCGCCAATCACCATCAACGGTAGGGATTTGAAAGAGGTTAATTCATTCACTTATCTAGCTAGGGAGCATTGTCTCAACTACAGGAGGAACGGACGAGGATGTCAAATCGAGAATCGGGAAGGCAAGAAACACATTCATCAACCTGAAACCGATCTGGAAATCTTCGTCACTCAGCCTTCGGATTTTCAATACAAACGTCAAGTCAGTCACTTCTTCTATACGGATCAGAAACTTGGCGGGTCACAAAGAATATTTCCAACAAGTTGCAGAACTTCATCTACTACTGTCTTCACTCTATACTCAAGATCAGATGACCGGAAAGAATCACCAACAAGAAACTATGAGAACGAACAAAGCAAGAACCAATCGCCCAACAAATATGCAGGAGAAAGTGGAGATGGATTGGACACTCGCTGAGGAGTCCGCTGGGTGACATCGCGTGTCAGGCCATCACTCGAGTGGAACCTGAAAGGGAAGCGGTGAGTGGGACGTCAGTGCAAGGGTGACATGAAGGTGATCGTGTGAAGAGGAGTTGAAACAGTATGGACTAACATGGATTCAGGTGAAAAGTACAGCAGAAGACAGAAGCAAGTGGTGATGTGTAGTTGAAGCCCTATGTTCCACTAGGAACCCAAGGGAACAACAGTAATAATAATAATGCATAGCTCAGGCTTTTCAAACGTAATTCCGTTTATTCCTTCGTTCCGATGTGCATCCCGATCACAACTCAGTCATTAAATTATTCATCATAATATGTAATTCTAATACGCTTATTCAGCTCCTTTTACGCATTGACTAACAATAACTACGATGTTAGTGAAGAAGTCATCACTTTAGCTACTACTCTGTTTCATGAGAAAACTGTGCATAAGTGTGACTGTACAGCTGAAGAGATAGATGAATTCGCCGAGAATAAGCCTCTTCACAGTACACGTTTCTTCTTTTCACTGATACCTAAAAGGGTATCTATTATTCATGGATATGTTTTGTTTTTAATGGGAATATCTATTCATGTATTTCATTAACAATTTCTGTCAACAAATAACAGATATGATATATAGAAGAGCAGCATCTCACGAATATTTGATAGTAAGTTATTGAGATATATAAGGTTTGAACCAATTGTCAGTTGATAATAACTGAAATGAACGAACCCATTTTGCTTAACTTAATAAAAACCATCAGATAAAACTATTGAATTCGTTTCATTGTGTAACTCAATAGTGGGCTTCAAGATCATAAGTTTCACTAGAATTACACTTATTAAGTGGTTGAAGGAAATAACCAAGAAACCCAGCCTCACCTTGTGCTATGTGTTTGTTGTCGTTTTCCAGTCAGCAAGGCGTATCTGCAACCTTAAAGGAACACTCATCTCCCTTCTGAGATTTGAAGTAGCGTCGCCCACTGCTGCTATCAGAGATGTTACCATTGGGCTATTCCGGCTTACGGTTGACTTCATGTAGGAATACATTACAAACTCAACTGATAGAGTTCAGTCATATAAAAGAAAAGAAGGCGTTCAGCGAAGAGACTCTTTTCGGCGAATTCATTCACTGAGCTGTACAATCGCATATGTATACAATTTCGTTTGTGTGTGTGTACATTAGATTTATAAAGTTTAGATAATTACGTAATATAAGTATTATTTGGCTTGGAAACAAACGTTAAGATAGAAAATAAAATAGAATTGATAAAGTGAATTGGATGACGAAATACAATTGAGTATAATTCAGAGTAGGTCAGGTTGACAACAGTGTTAATGAGTGGTGGTTAAAAATTAAATAAGGGTGGGGTAGAGAATAATGCAGTTGAAAATAAGTAAATTAATCGGATGACGTAATATAGTTGACTAGAAATTGGACGTGGGTCAAGTTAGTAACATTGTTAATGAGGGTAGAGATTACAAAAGGGTGGGGTAGAGACTAATATACATGAAGATGTGAAATAATAAAATGAAAAAGACAAAATAATACTATTAGTAAGACTGAAATTAAGAAAGATAACGTCCATTGTAGATTCAATGAATGAGCCAATTTCTTTTGTATGCAGAGTTCAGGATTTAGCAGATGTAATGCCATTGCTTCTGCGATGTGGAGAAGTTTGATCCGTACACTTTTAGCAAGATTGCCTTGTATTCTGTAGATAACTTTGAAGTTTATTTCGGGTTTGACTTGGTGTCCTGAGTTGGTCAAATGTTCAAGGATCGAGCTGCGGGGGCATCGGTTTTCTCCTTTATAAAACGATGAAGGTAAATGTTTGTTGACGCGTTTGGATAGCGAACGCTGAGTACGACCGATATACCTGGCTCCAAACGAGCAGGTGAATTGGTAGATGCACACAGATGAGGCCAACGGCGGTAGCTTATCCTTCACGTTCATGCGAATCATTGGTCTCGTGGAGAACGTCAGTCGTAATTCAGCTGCAAAGAAGGTTTTCTTCAATGAACGAGAGAGCTGATTTCTCAGAATTTCTGTAGATTGGTCTCCGTTGAACTGTAGGTTCATATAGAGAA